AGTTACAGAGCAGGTCACCTACTAATCAGATAAGTTGGTCGTTTGAACCCTGGCTGCTTCAGCCAGGCACGTCAAATATCCTTGGGCAATATACTAACTATATACTAGCCCCACTCCACACTCTGATGCATCAGAGTGGCACATCAAGTATATACATATGTGTAACCTGCCTCTGCTAAGCAGGTGCTGCCAAATGTACCTAGAGGAGAGATTTTTGTCTTAATGTCAGTGATATACTGGTATTCTACAGTTTCTTCTGCACAATGTGTGCAGTGTGTGTGTGTGTCTTACAGTAGCTGTAGATGGTCCTGCCTCCGGATTAAAGCATTTTTCTTGTTAACCAATGTGAACCATTCCTGAATCAACCTCTCCTCCTCCTCCTTGTCACTGCCTGTGAGGTAAAATCATCATTAATTTCCCGTCTTGGTTAAAGTCTTCTTTGTTCTCTTTCTTAGACTAGAACATGGTGGGCAGGTAGAGCGAGTATTTTACCTGTTTCCAGCAACTGTCTGAGTTTCCTCTCCACCACATCTGCTCTGTTATCAACGTGATTTTGTTCTGCTTCCAAGGCTTCCATTTGATTCAGCACGTACTCGCTCGGGTCCTAGATACAACAATAATTACTCACTCTGCAGACGATGAGAGGAGAACAAAAGATTCTCCACAGACTTTAACAAAATTACAGTTAAACAGCTGCTTGCTCACCTGGCCCTCTGGTCTTCTGTCCTTTAACGCAGCATCCATTCTCTCTGCATGAACAAAATGTAAAAATGAGCAACCAGTCATTCATCATTATATCCAAGTTCTGTTGTTGTTGTTGAGTTTTTGCTTTTAGTTTAAGTCAAAGAGAACTAACCGGTTTCTGACTTCCTTTGGGCTTCAGCCTGCAGAGACAAACAACATCCACACACAATGTAGATAAGACAAAGAATGACATCTCAAAGGAATAAACAACTCAGGGGAGGCAACATACGGTAACATACCACTGATATGTCTCCTTCTTCGACTGACCCGCTCCTGCGCTGTGACCTGCGCTTCTTAACCAGGTCAGCATCTCTGACACGAGAGAAGCTAGACTTGAACAGAAAATGAGTCCGTGGTGGCGCCACTGGAGACTGAGCGGCACTCACCCCAGCAACCTGCGAGCGTTTGGTTCTGGGAGGCGGCACCACGTCCCTGCTGGCTTTACTGTCCTTCTCTGCAGTGCTTACACTCCCATTAGTCTCAAGACTTATACCCTCCTCCTGGAGCCTCTGGGCGCAGTAGCGAACAGTTGCCTCGGGGTCGTCTTGGGCCTCCCGGTCCCCTGCTACGGCATAACTGGACTCACTGGTGTCTTTGTCTATGTGAAGCACACTGAGCTCCTGGCCAGTGAAATATGTGCGGATCTGGTTAAGGTAGGTCATGACAATGAGGCGGTCAGGCACTGCAAGCATGACCATGTCTGAAGGCTCCATCAACCTTGAAATTCCAAGTTCAGCAAAGCCATTAAAAGCCTGCAACATGTTCAAATACAAGGACATTATAAGGTCTTCCCAAATATTAAGTAATCAATACTTGATATTTCATGAGAATATAGGAAATTGTTAACCACCTTTTTGTTGTTTTGCTTGATGTCATATGGATCCAACATTTCAAAATTACTAGAAAAAGACAAAACAGGGCAACATACCATATTTATCTTTTAAGTTTTAATTGAACCTTTAATTAACCAGTATGTGCATTGACAAAGATTATTTTTCAAGGAAACCTCGCCAAGAAAGCAAACCAAAAACTATAAAATCCTCTGCAATGTGTAAAACAAATTTAAAATCAAGCATAAAACTACACGTTAAGACTGAGCAAGCAGTAAGGCTTAAGTACAACTAAACAGATAATAAAAAAGTAGCTACTCTGTATTGTGTTGGCACATGGGATCCTTAAATTTAGTTAAATCTGTTTCATATACTAGAATTATTTTTCCACAGTGTTTTGGAAATAGAAGGCGTGAGTGGACAAGGGATGTGGAATGCTAACATGCTAATAATCCCAACGGAAGAGGTTGCATGAATGTCACAATGGACCTGGAATCTTGGACACCCAACATCAAAACAACTATTAGTTCAGTGGACCAACATTTGAAAGAAGATCACAGGTAGATATCGTCATCCCCGCCATCTGAGATTGGGTACCAAGCTCAACGGGTGTGTGAGCAGCTGATCTGAGAGATAAGATCGTGGCTAAACTGGAAACCCTCCGTGCCAGATTACCAAGACTATGTAAAGTACCCTCTGATGGACCTGCAAAGGTGTGAATGCAGCTTTATGGACAATCCCTACTGCGACCATCACTGAAACCAGCCAGCTGATCTAGACCACGGCAGCAGTGATAATTGAGATGCTTGGGTATAAGACACACAGCAACAAGGAGCAGTACCCTCCATGGAGCAGGAAACTAGAGGTCAAGATCAAGGCAGCATGGAGGGAAGTTGGGCAACTATCGGAGATGGGGTGTCTACGAAGTACAGCAAGCTATTCACACCTGAGGCCTTAAAAACTACCAAGCAAAAACTAATAGCCTTGGCCAGCTGTTTGAAGAGATATACCAGAGAGAGAGAATCCAGGAGAATAAACCAGATGTTCTCAGTGAAACCATCCAACAATTTGAGAACAGCCCCACCAAGCCTGGAGACAAATACTCGAAGAGCATATGGGAGAAGGATGCAACCCATAACAACAATGCTCAGTGACTAGATGAGCTAAGAGCAGACCATAGCAACCAACGAAAAGAGTCCAGTAACTATCACAGTGGCAGGCATTCAAGAAAGAGTATCAAGGGGCAAAGATGCCCCTGAGGCAATCCAGCACATAACAGCAGGGAGCAAGATGCTAGCAGGCAGGGAATACACGGAACGCCATAACTACGTGGTCGGAATAGGATACAGGAACATCAGAGCCTGAGGTCGTGAGGTCAAAATGGGACATGCCCATCAGGGCGGTTGAGAATGACCAAGCTTAGATCCAGTAGGACTTCAACTGGTGATGGCTAACCAACCAAATATAGAATTGGCTGACTACATCAAAGCACTACATTTTTACATATACAATTAGCATTAAAACACACAGAGAGGTAGCTAAACATTTGGCCAGTGAACACCTGGAAAGCTGCACACAATAGCTGATGTTGCTTATAGTCAAGCTAAAAATTAAACTAGCAGATCCACAGTCTATCCAGTAAGGGTGATAGGGCAACGGTTTCTTACATCTTTTCTGGGTGGAAGTGGTGTAAGATGGCACAAAACGCGAGGCCGTTCCTCCAGGAAGTGCTGAAGTTGGTAATTTTCACTCCCTTGTGATTCTTTGTGATCTCCTGACACCATTCCAGTAAGGACTGACTTGACGTAACTAAGGTCGGACTTCCCGGTGGATTCTAGAAAACACAATAAGATTATTTGGAAATTATAGTGACATAAAGTGCAGAATTACACATTTTTAGTTGAATAGGTTTAATGTGCATTAAACGT